GAGGGGGCGCGGATTTCTGCCGGTTGCCGGGTCGATTGCTCTGGTTTCTTTCTTTCCCCACCCCGTCCCTCCCTTTCCCGTCTCAGTCTCTTACCCGGACGTCTTGCAGTGCGTCAACGTCACCATCTTCTCGATGGCCGAGTGCCGCCGGTTATACCCCGGTTCCATCACCGAGAACATGCTGTGTGCCGGAAGCCTCCAAGGCGGTAGGGACTCCTGCCAGGTACGGCCAACACGTCCCCCTCTGCCACCGCCGGTCTTCCACCGGGGCCCGTCTCCCAGGTGGACCTTGGGGACAGAAGGCGACGCGTCCCTTCGTCGTCACGAGGGGGGTCTTCTGCCGTCGGCCAGCCCGACGGCGGCTCGCAAAGCCGGTGAGGGTTGGCCAAGCCAGTGATGTTCTTCAGCCAAACAAGGGTTGGCCAATTCATACGGAGTTGGCCAACTCAACAGCTGCCCGACCCAAGGGGAGTTGAATAACCCGGTGTTGGTTCTTCAACCCAACAAGGGTTGGCCAACTCAAGTAGGGTTGGCCAACTCAAGTAGCGTTGGCCAACTCAAGTAGAATTGACCAACTCAAGTAGAATTGGCCAACTCAAGTAGCGTTGGCCAACTCAAGTAGCGTTGGCCAACTCAAGTAGCGTTGGCCAACTCAAGTAGAATTGGCCAACTCAAGTAGAATTGGCCAACTTGGCAACGGCTGGAAAACCCAAAGAGATTTGGACAACCTACTGGGGTGGTTGGCCAACCCAGTGATGGTTAAACGAGCCACCAAGCACTAGTTGACCCAATGGGATTGGGTCGCCCGCCGCAATGACGGTGGAACAACTCAAGAGTTGGACAGTCCAACGTCATGGGTTGGTTAACCCAGTCATAGATTATCACCCCTAAAAAGGTTGACCAAACCAGTTGGAGGTGACCAATCCGATGGTGGTCGGCCAACCCAATCACAGCCGGCCAACCCAACAACAGTTGGCCAACCCAGAGGGGTCATCCAACTCGATGAGACCCAACGACGGGCTAGGAGCTGGGTGACCCGGCGCAGAACGGCGGGTTCACGCCATGCCTTTCCGTAGGGTGACTCCGGAGGACCTCTGGTTTGCAACAGGACCCTCCAAGGCATCGTCTCCTGGGGCATGGAGAAATGCGGCCAGCCCAAGAGACCCGGTGTCTACACCAAGATCTGCAGATACGCCCAGTGGATCAGGAGGACCATGGAGGACAACTAGCCATGCTCCAGCCACCTCCGCGTGCCCCAGGGGGAGGGCAGAGGGCCGCGTCCGCCGCTCGCTTCGCTGGGGCAGGACGCTGGGACGACAGAGGCTGCGGCGAGGTTGTGGGTGGAGCCGGGGTCACCCGGTGGAGCTGGCGAGAGGGTGGGTGGGAAGGCACCAGAAATTAAAAGCGTTGTGATGTCTGGTGGGAAACGGTGTCCCTTCAACCTCCCCCCACCCCCCGCCTGTAGATTTCAAGGTCAGTCCCGGACACCTCCTCTCCTCCAAGGTCATCCACAGGCCTAGTGTCCACCCACGGCCACGGGCTTCGTTCCGAGGTCAGATCCTTCCCGCCGTCCCCAAAATTTGTGACTTCCCGGGCGGAGACGTTGGTTTTGTTTGAAGACAAAGCTGGCCCCTTCGCTCGCGCTGTCCCACCTGTCACCTCGCAAGGACCGGGAGGTGGCTCCCGGTGGCCCGGCCCGCGATGGCCTCCGGGACGCGGGACGCTGGTGGACGAGTCCTCCGACCCCAATGGACTTGGTCAGCTCAACCAGAGGAACCAAGCAAAGACGGTTGCCCAACTCAATCACCGCCGGCCACCAGGCAACGACCCGCCCGATGGGAGATGCCCAATGGGAATGAAGAAGCCAACGAGCATCGGCCAATGCAACAAGGGTCAGCCAATCAGTGAGGATCACCCAATCGACAAAGGTCACCCAACACAATGATGGTTGGGCGACCCTACAAGGGTCGGCCAAGCGGGTGATGGTTGGCTAGCCCAAGGGGGTTGGGTCAAGCCCGCAAGGGTCACCCAATCAACGATGGTTGGCCAAGCCTTGTAGGTGCCATCTTGGGGGGGGCGGTGGCCATCAGCCCCCGGGCTTCAAAGGGAAGACAGGGACCCATCAGCCAGGAGATCCGGCCTGCCCACCCCGAACCGGGGAAACGCCATTGGCTGGGCTCTTCCCAAGTCCCACCCA